GTGAGACCTCGGATAGACCAGGTGAGCGCTCAGATGGAGGTGGGAGCCAGGTGAGACCTCGGATAGACCAGGTGAGCGCTCAGATGGAGGTGGGAACCAGGTGCTCAGCAGGCCTAGAGGAACCTGAGATGAACTGCTCAGAGAGAAATCAGAAAGCTCCATGCTAAGTGAGCTGAATCTTGGAGAATGAGTAGGCATTTCCAGAAGGAAGCTGTGGAGAAGGAAATCCCATTGACCTCCATCCTTCTTTGTCTAACCAGGGCCCTGCTAGGGTTTCTGAGTTATTCTAGGTCTCTTAGTGTCTGCTTACCCTCTCTTGTGCAAAAAAAGTAGATCTTCTGGGCTGTCTTGGAGCTCTAAACCTACACTCCAGAGGTGTTTAGAGCTGTGCTGTCCAGTATGGTAACCACTAGCCAAATGTGGCCCTTTACATCAAAATTAAATAAAATTAAAAGTCGAGTCCCTCAGTCACACCAGCCACATTTCAGGTGCTCGGTAGCCACCACGGTTAGTGGCTGCCACGTGGCCAGCACCGACGTGTCCATCATCACAGAGAATTCTGTTGAATAGTACTGTTGTAGAGGGTACCTGGGAGTCCTGCAGAGAGAAGTAGGGCATTCTTCTCTGTGCCCTCTCAACTCCAGCTGTTCTGAACCTCCAGGCTGGCTGTTCAGGCTCTAGGAGCTGTAGCCCAGCTCTGCCCCAGGCTCTTCAGAGCCACGAGCTGTTCAGGAAGACCTCGTGGAGTGACATTGGCTGTCTTCTGCACTGCTGTGGTCCTGCCACAGCCTGCCCGGATTCAGCTCTAACAGAGACACACTGTTGCTGGGTGAAGACCTGGTTCATTTAAGAAACTGATGAAGTAAAAGAAAGCTTTTTTTTTTAGAAGGAAGCATTGCTTTTTTTTTTTTTTTGAGGAAGAGTGGCCTTGCGCTAACATCTGTTGCCAATCTTCCTCTTTTTCCTCCCCAAAGCCCCAGTACATAGTTGTGTATCATAGTTGTAGAATTGTAGCTCTTCTATGTGGGATGCCGCCTCAGCATGGCTTGATAAGCAGTGAGTAGGTCCACGCCCAGGATCTGAACCCGTGAACCCTGGGCCGCCGAAGCCAAACACACAAACATAAGTGCTGTGCCACGGGGCCGGCCCCAAAAGAAAGCTTTTTATTTATCCTTTACACTAGATTTCACAGAAATCCTCCTGTGACCTCCGTTAGGTTTGGTTCTTGAAATATGTGTGAAGAGAGCTGGCCAGAGGGAGGCGGCCTGCAGGTGTCATGGCCTTTAGAGGGGCCAGAGGCCACTGCTTCAGAATTCTTAGAGTTGTGCACAGGCAAACAGGGGATGATAAATACTGTAAGGAGGTTGCGCGAGTACACAGTGATTAATATCTGACACTGGATTTTGGCTTTGTGTTCAAGAACTCCCTTCATGGGCAGACAAAGCTCACTTGGCCATGATCACCGCCAGGCCTCCCTGGATGCACCCCTGGCCCGTGATGGGATCATGACAAATTGTACATCAACCTGTGTTGTCAGATGCTCCAGGAGAGCGTCTCTTCGGGAGCGATCATCTGCTGTAAAGCATGAAGAACAAAGCCTGGGCTCCACAGCACTCACCCCTCAGTGTGCTGTTAGTACCGTTGTGTTCAGGCAGTCTCTGTGATGACCTGGGATTTGCCACAAAACCATTTCATTGTGTCTGGTGTCTCCAGAGATTAGAGGGTGCCAAGATCTGTGTGTGATGGGTAATAATAACCGACTGAGAAGCTCTCAGGCAGTTTGATTTACAGCTATGCATGACCTGACTTCAGGAGGAATTTGAGCTTAACCTAGGTTTGGTTATAATTTTCCAAAACAGCTTTCACTTTAGGAATCCAAATCCATCTGGATAACATCCAGATGTCAAAATTTATAACATGTGCCCCATTTGTGGAAGTAACTTGGAATTTCAGAGTTAGCCTGTCAGTAAGTCTGAGAGAGACCTTTTTCCAGAATGCTGCTTCCCCTACACTCGTGGTTTCCCAGCGCCCCAGCTCGGAGGGGGTTCTCAGTGTCAGTGAGAAATATCCCTGGCATCATAGACAGTCAGGTACAGAGTCTTCAGATGGTGGGCATGTGCAGTCCCTGTAGGCTGGGTACCTGGTTGTCATCTGTAATTCATCAGTGGGACCAGGTGTGTTCAGAAAGGTGAAACAAGCAGACGGAAGCAGCAGTCCGTCTCTGTTAGAGCTTATAAGGGCATCATTTGAGTACCTGAAGTGGGCAGTGCAGCAGCCGACCCAAGAGGCTGGCTCAGGAGCAGTGGTGCCTGCAGTTTCCGGGGGCATCGTTTCATCAGGGAAAGGGTGGGAAGGCAACTGGGTGGGACAGAGATAACGCACAGGCATCAGTGACCCTGCCGGGCGTTAATACAGGAGAGCCTGAGGCCCCAGAAGAGAGCCCAGGATTCTTCCTGCGTGTCAGGGACATTTCCCACCTGTGCATGGGGGACTGCAGGCCTTTCCTCACCCCCGGTTCTTACCCAGCGTCTCACAGGGGTGGAGCCTGAGGCACTGCGACTTTGAGGTGAGGCCCTGGGCCTCCTGAATGGTGCGTGGAGAGAAGGCAGGAGAAGGGTTTGTTGGTTGGTGTTGGCCAGAGGAGAATAGATGATTTTTTTAATCCTCCCTTTATCAAAGTCTCCTTACAAACAAGAAAATAGAAATGGCTTTACTTTATGTTTTACTCTGGATAATTAGGGTTAAATTCTCAATTAACTTTACTAACACCAAGACTAAAGGGCTATGATAATCCACTCCCTTTTCACCAGGAGGTTGTTTTTTCCTAATAAGAAGATACTGAGCTCATGGTGGAACAGGAGAAGGGAGAAGGCAAGAGTTTTGGAAAAGAACACTAGGAGAAGGCCGCCCCTCCCTCCCAGATCAGACCTTGCTAGATAATTCAGTGACTTCACCGTCTTTCCAAGATGTGTTTGTATATGTTTTAGAACATTATTTCCAAGATGTGTTTGTATATGTTTTAGAACATTATTGACTCATCTGCAGAATTACAATAGAAATAAGAAGGGAAATCTGGAATATGAGTCGAACCTCATGAGTTTGGACTACCTAGAGAAAAGGCTGGTCTGAATTAGTGTGAACTCATGAGGCATCTAACTATATACATATGTATGTATATATATAAAATTTCATATATATATCTGAAGTTTCATTCTTTTGAATATATATGAAGACAAACATGAAGACATAAATATATAAGCATACACATATATATACACATATGTACACATATACTTTTATTCCTTTAAATGCCAATGAAGCATCATTTATGAGTGGCTACAGCAGAGGGCACTTTGTAGACCTGGGTCCATCCTGGTTCTGTCACTAACTTGCTGACTCCTAGACAAGGATTCTCAGCTTCAGCACTATGGACATGTTGGGGTTGGAGAACTCTTTGTAGTATGAGGCTGTCCTGTGCACTGTAGGATGTTTAGCAGCATCCCTGGTCTCCACTCGCTAGATGCCAGTAGCACCCCTGGCCCATGACAACCCAAAATGTCCCTCAGACATTTCCAGACGTTGTACTGGTTGAGAACCACCATTCAAGACCAAGCGGGATCATTCCCCAGGCCGTGGAGTCCTCATCAGTAAACTGAGGAGAGCATCTTGGAGTCCCTTCCGGATCAAACACTCCTGGGATGACTGTCAAGTTTCTCCAGACTCAGAAGCCATCTGACAGCTGTGTTGTTATAACTGGGTGTATAAGTGGAAATGTATTCTGAAGGTTAAACATTTAAGCTCTCGTTTATACTGTCCATTTGCTTATGTAACCTACCCTTGCCCAGTTATCAAACACCAGAAGATGAGTGATATTATACTGTATTCCTAAGAAGCCCAAAATGGACTTAGAGTTGCTCTTATTCTTTACTGAACTTGATCCACACAGCTATATTTAACAGAAGAGAGTTTTGGAAATGATTTGGCTGAAATACCTGCTTTTCTTTCCCTCAGGAATTCTCACACTGAAGAGAGCAAATGAACTCCTGAGCCCGTGTGTGCCAGGCAGTTTTCTGATCCGAGTCAGTGAGAGGATCAAGGGCTACGCCCTGTCCTATCGGTGTGAGGACGGCTGTAAGCATTTCCTCATAGACGCCTCCACGGACTCCTACAGCTTCCTGGGCGTGGACCAGCTGCAGCACGGCTCCCTGGCGGAGCTGGTGGAGTACCATAAGGTGACCCGATGTGCACACTGCATTTGCTCTGTGCATTGTCCTACAGCCACTCTGACAGTGAACGGCAATGACAGGAAAAAAGACCGAGACAAGTAATGGGGGAGTAGGCTTTGATAATTCCTCCTGATAATCAGGATTCTTATTTGCATTTACTATATCGTTGAACCTAGTTCTTCCTCAAATACTCAGGGGGACCCCACTGGGGCAGAGAATATAGAAGATGCTGAAAAATCTGTGCACACAGTGATCACATCTGAGAACACTCTTCACTTAGAACTAGAGCCTGGGAGGGAAAGAGAGAACATGGCAGTTTGTGAGTGAGAAAAATCTCTTTTAAGATGGTCATAAACCAATAAAGCTTTGTGTGTATCAAAGTAGGCAGGCAGTTACATACTCCAAGGAGGTGGGAAGGGCAGGACATTATTATTTATACTGTCTCAACAGTCTTCCCAGCCTGACTTGTGCCTTCCGATTCACAGGATGAGCCCATAACTTCCCTGGGGAGAGAGCTCCTTCTCTACCCCTGTGGTCAGCAGGACCAGCCGCCCGACTACCTGGAGCTCTTTGAGTGACAGCTCCCGTCACATCACCCTGCAACCTCCGGCTGCTTTCCTCGGGACAAACACTGCTGAAATGTGAGTGTGCAGAATCAGCCTGCAGCAGAGCCAGTACTGGTCAGCTGAATATCCATGGAGTGCTAAGGAATCGCTCTGCTGCACAGACACAGACGCTGGAGCTTAATGTTAAGAGAAATTACCCGAGTCCTCGGCGCTCCACAAGTTAAGGGAGAAGATGCCCAGTTTCAGCAACTTCCTGATATGAAGCCTACAACCTTAGTGGTGTATATAGGATAAAATGCACAAAGAAGAAATGGAAACCTTTTAGGAATTAAGGTGTACTTCAGAAACCAGTAGCTCATGTGAACTGTGTCATGACCTCCACACTCCCTCTTTGCATCACCTCAGACGGTCTCCGAGTCCTGTGTATGTGAGATTCCATGTGGGCTTTGGGGAGCTGGCGGCTGAGACGACTCTCCAAACACACCTCACTTACTGAGCCTGTTGGAGCCATGATGTAAGAGACATAAAAAGACAGAGATGGAAGTGTGAATTGAATGAGGAGTTTTAAAATGCAGGATGAGAGGCTTGCCTTGTACAAAAGTGCTATGGCCTGTAGGAGAGTGAGCAGACATCTCCGAGCACGTCTCCTCGTCCTGGAGAAGCGGGACGGCACTGCCCTGCTGCTGTGCTCTCCCCAAGAGCGCACCGAGAAGGGTGAAGTGTGTGCGCACCTGAGGGGCTGTTTCTTAGGCTGTTTGGATACTACTTGTTATGGGTTCAATTGTGTCCACAAAATGATATGTTGAAGTCCTAACCCCCGTACCTGTGAATGTGACCTTATCTGGGAATAGGGTCTTTGCCAATGTCATTAGGATGAGGTCGTACTGGAATAGAGTGGGCCTTAAATCCACGGACTGGCATCCCTGTAAGGAGAGAGAGATCTGGAGACGGACGCACGTAGAGGGACAAAGGCCGTGGGATGAGAGGTGCAGAGGTGGGAGTGCTGGCGGCCACCAGAGGCCGGGAGCGCGGTACGGAGCAGACTCCACAGAGCCTCAGAAGGGAACACGCCCTGCTGACTCCCGGATTTCAGACTTCTGGCCTCCAGAATAGCAGAGAATACATTCCTGTTGTCTTAAGCCACTGAGTTTACGGTCGTTTGTTATGGCAGCGCTGGGAAACTAATACAGAAGTTTATGTAATTACGGAACCTCACGTGCATCATCTACCAGTTGTTGCTGTACAGCCTGTCCCCTCATAATGAAGGAAAAAGGAGAGATGAGAGGAACCCCCACGGGCTCTGTTCAGCTCTGGGACGCAGCTTGCTCAGGCAGGAGTCTGATGCCCCACTGCATCCCCGCCCCAGCCGCCACCCAATAAGGGGGCGCCCTCTGGGCAGCGAGGAGGGGGCTCTGACCACTGAGATGATTCTTCTGGGAAGGTGTAGATGTACTCGTGCTTCAGGCCCAACTCCCTGTGTCAGCATTCTTTTAAAGGAAACACGTTGTAGCAGTTTATTCATGAGGTTGTTGGTTGTGTAAAACACTCTCTGGTAGTGTAAAATGTAACCAGAGAAGAGGGCAGGGTGTGTGCGTGTAGATGTGAGCGTGAATGGGTGTGTATGTGTGCTTTAATGAGAAAGTTTTTAAACATAGATCGTTAAGTGTTTCTTGACATGTTCCATGTGGTTTCTATTGTCTAAGAGAACGGCCTCAGCTTTCCTTTCTTTTTTTTTTTTGTTTTTTTTTTGGTGAGGGTGATCAGCCCTGTGCTAACATCTGCCAATCCTCCTCTTTTTTTTGCTGAGGAAGACTGGCCCTGGGCTAACATCCGTGCCCATCTTCCTCCACTTTATATGGGACGCCGCCACAGCATGGCTTGCCAGCAGTGCGTCGGCGGGCGCCCAGGATCCGAACCGGCGAACCCCGGGCCTTCGCAGCGGAGCGCGCGCACTTAACCGCTTGCGCCACGGGGCCGGCCCTCAGCTTTCATTTCTAAGTGTAATTCAACAGTCACAACATTATAGAATTGCAGAGACAGCACAGGGCTGGAAGGCAGAAACTTCTGCTCTGTTCCATCTCTTCCTTCACTAGCTGTGTGATCTGGGACAGGTCCCTCTCCCTCTCTGATCCTCAGTTTTCACTTCTAATTAAAAAAAGCTGTTTTAAGTAGGTGATTGTTGTTATTTTCATCTGGCTCTGAAATCTTAAGTTTCTGCAATGAATAGAAAAGTACCCTTATAGATACTAATAATTATGAATACATGAGAGAGTCCCCTCTTTATTATCACCCTCTGCCCAAAATTATTTTGGAGGAAATAAGTACAGTCATATCCACATATAACTGTATTAGGTGCCATCCCACTGGAGGCAGATTTAGAACACAGGAAATGACCCGACTGATTTAACCTACTCTTACAAAGGGGAGCAGATTTGAGTTCTCTATGATTTTATCCTGAGGATTATTGATAGAGGAATAAACTGTCCAGTGTTTGAGGATATGATGGCTATGATAATACCTGAAATTCTTGGGGAAGAAGAATGGTTGGCGGAATTCAGAAATGGATTACAGCTAGATGGTGAGGAGGCCTGAATTACCCTCGTCGCCCTGTTAGACCCAGTCTCCTGTGTCTGACCCTAGCTATGGCCTGAGGCGGGGATGGCCAAACCCTGGCCCTGATCCCCTCCCGTGGCCTCAGCAAGCCCGGCTCCCTGACCTGCCTGCCCAAGCTTTCTTGGTCTGGGATGTTCCCCTCGTGTTGGGAACTGTCCAGGTGCCCAGTCCCAGGCACTCCAACCCACCTGCCTCTTGGGGACCGTGCGCAAATGCCAGTCCCCGACCGTGCTCATTCTTCTCTCCCTCTGCTCCCTCAGTAGGATCCTGGAGTCATGCCTGACTCTCCGGCTGCCACCTCCCTACTGCCAGACCCTCACATGCCGGTCAGTCCCCTGTCAGGTCACCTGGAAGGCCCTGGTTCCGGTGCCCTGCTCTATCCTGCTGCAGTAGGATCCACAAGGGAGCTACTGTGTCCCTCAGTGTCGCCAGCGATGCTAAGCAATGTCAAGAAGTGTTAGTAGGCTCAAACCTTATGCCAAGAAGAGGAAAAACACGGTCAGTTAAGAAGAAAAAGGATCAAGAGAATGGAGAAAAAGTGAAAATGGGGCATGGATAGGTCACTTACAATATCTCGGGGGCATTTATACCAAAAATTGCCTATCCAAGCTAATGCGTTGGAATTAACCATCCTTTTAGTGTAAAGTAATGGCATGTGCTAATGTGGCATGACATCTGTTTTTAGGTTTAAAAAAAGAAAAATCGATGGCCTCAATTTTTGCAGGGGCCCCTTTCTGTAGATGCAGCCTTCTCCATGCACTCGAGTCCACACGTGTCCTGGCCCTTGGGGCCTCACACATACACACCTTGGGACTCCTGCCATTTGGTGCACAAAGACACAAAGATGATTTCTAGGGTGTGCTTGGGTGTGTCTCCTTGGGGCCTCTCTGCTTTCATTTTTGTCAAGAACGTGGCAAATGCTTTCATTTCAGATGCATTGCATGGGTCTTTTTTTAAGAACATAAGTTTTTTACAATTACATCTTTAAACAATTGTTTGCATTGTCCTTTTCCTTCCTCAGGAGTACCCGTAAATCTTATTTCGATTTCTCTTCTTTACCTTCCATTTTTGTAATCTCATCCTCATGGTTTTAATCTCACCATCCTTCTCTGTTGTGTTTAGGAATGCTCCTCATCCCCGTCCTTCCACACCACAGATTAAATTTCTGCGATGTTAGTTCTGCTCTTGTGCCTCCAGTGCGGATTTCAGGGCATCTGTTTTGGTGTACTTGCTCTGCTCCCTTGTCTGCCCACACAGGCTCTTTAGACTGCTCACTGCTGCCCCAGATTGACACTGTCAGGAGGCGAGAGTGATAAAAGTGTCCTCTTGTTATTGTGTGGTAACAACACATGATTTGTAACGAGGTAGCTTGATATGGTAGAGGAAGAGCCCGGCGGGTTTGGGTTTAGATCCTGGCTACACCATCAACCAGCTGTGTGGCATCTTAAAGAAGATACTAGGCCTGTCTGAGCTTCACCTTCTTCATCTTGGAAACAGGATTTAATGAAGTCACTCACTGGGTTCTGAGGCTTAGAAAAGAAATATGGGAAGTGCCTAGCAGAGATCAGGTTCTCCTCAAGGGGCAGTTATTCCTGGTGAATCACTGGTCCAACAAGGCGAGGACCCATGTGCTCCCTGCTCCTTCGCCAGCCCAGCTGATGTAACCAGTGGGCTGTGCGTCCTAACGGCCCATTTGCTAGAGTTTCTGGGATGACTTTTAAGGGGGAAAGGGAAACTTTTAAAGAGTAAGGGATATAATGATGAATCACACAGTATATTAGTCAGTTGACTTGCAGAGAAATGGCTCGCTTAGTTTGGATTTGAAAGGGCATGGAAAAGGCATTCTCCATTGTCTGATTTTGACGACCCCTAAGTCAGCAGTGACCAGTCTTTACCCCAGATTGGCCTCTGACACATTGATGCAGTTGTCCTGGGCTTCCTGATCACAAATCCCCACATATTTGCCTCCCTTTTTGACCAGAAGACTTATTACAAACCCAGACCCCTTTGGGATTAACTCTGCCTTGTCTCCTGAACAGGTCAGGCAGTGCTGATGCTAAGCCAGATTGCCAGGGAGGGGGCAAGCCCCCACCACCCTCTCAGTCTAAATCAGCTTGTACTGTCCTTCAATTGAAAGGCCATTCCTTCACGAAGCCTTCTACCGACTGGGTCAAGATCGCGGTAACCCTCCAGCACACTGTGCCTCGACAACCAAACAGTGCAGGCGCCTCATCTTTGGAGGTGCTCCGGGTCGTGTGGCGGAGCTCTAGAAAAGGCTCCTCAACCTCGCCACGCCTACCATCCTGACAGCCCCACATGCCATGGGCGCGATTGTTACACAGCTCTGTTTGAGGCTAATAACTGGAAGAAAGAACAAGTAGTTAAATGCATTTTTCCTTCAACCTTTCTTTAAATTTAACTTGAGATTTACTGTTTGCTTTTAATTTTTATTTTTAATTTGTGTTTATTTTCCTTAACC